TAACCCTCCACCTTGTCAAGCATGTCTTTCTCTAAGGAATACCCTCTCCTAGAAACTTGGCCAAAGTTTGTGAGAGGAAACTTCTCCATTCTTGCTTCCAAGGAGCATTCTTACTGCACCTTCTCCAAGGCATATTTGTTTGTTATTTTGAAAGTACACGGGATATTCATGGAGCTCTGATGGTCTAGTGATAAGAAGATGCATTACTATCCTGAAGACACGTGGTTTGAAAAACCAGCTGCTCCATGGAAAAAGATGGCAGTATCCTCCCACGCAATTAACTGCCCCTGGGGGGGGGGGAAACCTGAAAGGTCAGCTATGGGTCAGTTCCAACTCGATGGTACACAACAACATGTGATATTCAGTACTCTCCTCTAATACTAAAGCTCAAAGCATCACTTATCTTTCTGTCATTCTTATTCACTGTTTAGCTCTCAGCAGCATAGGAAGTGGTTAAAAAGACTGTTGTCTGAGTCTGGTGCACCTTAGTATTAAAATTAACACCACTGCCCCTTAGTAATTTGGAGAAGTCCTTGACTGCACACTTTACCAGTGCAAAATATCTCCTGACCTACTGTTATTACCAAATGTATTGATTGTGGATCCAAGTAAGATGAATTGGCTGCCAGTTTCAATCTTTGCTCCATCTATCATGAAGTCACTTATTTGTCCAGTGGTAAGAATTTTTGTTTTCTTAGCATTGAGACACAATCCACACTGAAGGCTGCAGTGTTTGATCTTCAGCATCAAGTGTTTCAAGCACTCACTTTTAGCAAGCAAAGTTGTGTCATCTGCATATGCAGGTTGTTGAGTCTTCCTCTGATCCTGATGCCACTTTCTTCTGCAGAGTCCAGCTTTTCAAATAATTTGTCTCAATATTATTATTGTTATGTGCCATTGAGTCACTCTGAACCTTGCTCTATCCAGAGCCAGTCTCACTATCTCTGACACACCCACCTATTATCCTAGTTATTGTGTCAATCCATCTCACACACGGTCTTCCTCTCCTGTACTGTCCCTCTCCTTCTAAGAATGATGTCCTTCTCCAGATACTGGTCTGTCCAGGCCACATGTCCAAAATATATCAGACAGATCTTTAAAATCCTTGCCTCTACAGATTTCATCATTTCCAGGATAAACCTGTTTATTCTCTTGGCGGTCCATGATTTGTTCACTACCCTTCTCCAGCACTACAACTCAGAGGCAACAAGTTGTCTTCTTCTGTCAACTCTAGTCATTGTCCAGCTCTATGATGCATAGCAAGTAATTGCAAAAACCTTTTCCTGGATCAGGAACACCTTAGTCTCCAGACTGACATCATTGCTCATTAGTCCTTTGTGGAGTTCACTGACAACAGTTTTTCCCAGAGCAATTTGTCTTTTGATTTCTTGACTGCTGGTGCCTGGAGTGTTGATTGTGGAACCAAGCAAGCTTAAGTTGTTAACAACCTCAGTCTCTTCTCCATCTATCATGATGCTGCCAATTGGCCCAGTGGTGAGAATCTTTGTATTCTTGATGTTGAGCTTCAATCCATATTGAAGGCTATAGTCCTTGACCTTCTACAGCAAGCACTTCAGATCCTCCTCAGTTTTGGCAAGCAATGTTGTGCCATCTGTATAATGTAGGTTGATGATGAGTCTTCCTCCACATTCCTCGTCATAAAGTCCAGCCTCTCAAATGATCTGTTCTGCGTACAGATGGAAAGATATGGAAACAGGACACATCTGTGATACATTCCTTTCCTGATTTTGAATCATGCAGTGTTTCCTTGTTCTGTTCTGATGACTGTTTCTTGGTCCAAGCATAGGTTTCACATAAGAACAATCAAGCATTCTGGAATTTCCATTCTTCTCAAGGTTAGCAACAGTCTGTGTGATCCACACAGTCAAATGCCTTTGCATGGTCAATGAAACACAGATAGACATTACTCTGGTACTCGTTACTTTCAGCCAAGATCTGGATGACATTTCTGCTAATGTCTCTGATGCCATGGCCTCTTCTAAATCCAGCCTGTGATTCTGGTAGTTCTCTATCTATGTACTGTTCCAGTTGTTTTTGGATAATCTTCAGCAGTACTTTGCTTATGTATGATAACAGTGATATTGTTCAATAATTTCCATCTTCTGTTGGGTTACCCTTTTTTTGAATGGGAATAAATATGGATCTCTTCCAGCCAGCTAATCAGGCAATCATCCTCCAGATTTCCTGGCACAACTTGGTGAGTGCATCCAAGGCAGCATCTGTCTGTTGAAATATGTCAACTTGTATTCCATCATCTCCTGGGGACTTGTTTTTTTGTCAATTCCTTCAGAGCAGCTTGAACTTACTTCTTCATCACCACAGGCTCTTGATCATATGTTGTTTCATGAAATTCTTCCATGACAGACAATTCCTTTTGATACAGTGACTTGATTTAATGCTTCCTGGATCATTCCATATTCTGACCTCAGAATCCTTAAATATTGCAACTTGAGGCTACTGTTTGTTATTCAGTTCTTTAAGCTTAAGAAATGCTGAGTGAGTTTGTCCCTATTGATTTTCTGACTCCAGTTCTTTGCACATTTTTGTTAGAATGATTTGCTTTGTCTTTCCAAGCTGCCCTTTGAAAGCTTCTATTTAACTCCTTAACTTCCTGATTTCTTCCTTTTACTTTGGTTTCTCCGTGCTTTCTGTATAGTCAAATGCCTTTGCATAGTCAATAAAACATGAAGAGGCATTCTTCTGTTATTCTCTTCTTTCAGCCAGAATCTATCTGACACCAGCAATGATATCCCTGGTGCCATGGCTTCTTTTAGACACAACTTGAACTTCCAGCAGTTCAGTCAATGTGTTGTTATAGTAATTTTTGGATGGTCTACAGCAGTACTTTGCTGGTATATGATATTAATGAAATTGTTGTACATCATAATGACCCTATAAACAACCAATCTGAAGTTTGCCCTATCCTTCACCTTCCTTCCCATCTCTGTCTTATTCAAGCCAATTGTGGTAATGCGGTGACCATCTCATTGAGGGTCTTTCTCTCTTTCTCTGACCCTCTACCTTTCCCAATACGATGTCTTTTTCTAAGAACTCGCTCCTTCTGAAACTATGCCTAATATAAGTGAGACAAGTTCACCATTCTTCACTCTAAATGAGTATTCTGTCAGCGCTCCTTCAAGTATTTCTTTGTTCTTTTGGCAGTCCACGGTATATTCTGTACTCTTCAACAACACCATGATTCAAAGACATCAAATCTTCTTTAACCTTCTTTACTCATTGTTGAGCATTCTTCAGATACAAAGGAAACAATTGAAAGTACTATTTCTTGGACCAGATGCACCTTAGTCTTTAAACTAACATCCTTGGTCTTTAGAACTTTGGAGAGCTTCTTGCCAGTAAATTTCCCAAATGCAGCATATCTTTTAATTTCTTGGCTGCTTCTACGTGGGTGTTCATAGTAGATCCAAGTAAAATGAAATCATTAACATCTCCAATCTTTTTGCCATCTATCTTGATCTATTGGTTCAGTGGTGGAAACTATATATTAGCTTTGAAAATCCTATGTGACAGTTTTACTCACATGAAATTGGTAATAAATAATAAAAATGACCAAATAGGAGGGAGACCTTGGATGTTTGTAAATGGTTAACACTTACAAGAAGTTTGGATAGTTAAGTTCACCTATCATTGCCTCCTAAGAAAAGTCTGGAAATGCCACAGTTCTACTGTGGCATACATGGGGTCATCAAATCTCAGAATCAAGTCAATGATTAATGGTTTGAGCATTTTATTGTTGTGGCACTTATTGTTAATGAATGATGATACTGACATATTTTTATGTGTTTATTGGTATTTGTGTATCTTCTTTTGAGAATTGTCTACTCAAACTTTTTGCCCATTTTCCCCAATTAAGAGTTGTTAATTTTTTTATTGCTGAGTTTTAAGGATTCTTATTAGATCCTTATATTACATATGACTTACAAGTATCTTTAGATTTTCTTTTCATTCTTTTGATGGTACCTTTTGATGTACAAGTCTTTCCAGTCTAATGGGTTCCCATTTATGTTTTAAATTGTTGTTGGTCAAACATTCTTCTAGGTCGTATAGCCCTGGTGTGTCCACTTGCCATACAGAGTTAACCTGTGGTCTCTGTGAAGCTGAACACTGTGACACTGATGTGTCAAATGTGATAATGGTTACCCATGGTGGACAGTGTTTGGTGGCACTCCCTGCTTAAAACAAGCAGGAGTGGCATCCACTTCCATAAAAACTTGCCTCCAGAAACCCTATGAACCTGGAGAAAGAATGAAAGTCACGCACGTAATTGTCGAGGACTTTTGTTCATAGGGTCACTATGAGTCGCCTACGACTCGACAGCACTTAACAAAAACAATACAACAACATTGTTGCTTGTGATTTTGGTGTCATATATAATAAACCACTTTGAAGGTCATGAGAATTTATTCCTCTTTTTCCTCCTGTGAATTATATCGTTTTTGCCTTTATATTTACGTCTTGATAGATGAATTGACAGAAGAATTGATGCCTTTGAATTGTGGTATTGGAGAAGAATGCTGAAGATCCCATGGACGGTCAAAAGAACAAACAGATATATCTTGGAGAAAGTGCAGCCAGATGATCAACTTTAGTCTGACATTCTTTTGTCACGTTTCTAGGAAAGGCTATTTCTTTCAGAGAGACATCATACTTGGAAAAATAGAGGAGACAGCAAAGGAGAGGAAGACCCTCAACCAGGTGGATCGACACAGTGACTGCAGAATGGGCTCAGTGTGTCAGATTGTGAGAATGGCACAGAATAGGACAAGATTTAGACGTGTTGTTAATAGGGTGGCTATGAGTCATACTTGACTCAACAGCCCCTAAGAACAACAACAACAGGCTAAGTGGAAACAGGACATAGTTGGAAGAATGAGTATGTGATATATGCAGGTTTGGAAGTTCAAGTTTTGATGACCTGATTTTAACTGTAGTATTTGACTTCTCTATTTCTTCTTTAGCCAAGACAGTCAATGCTAGCATACTGCAGTATGACCTGGAGGCCCTAACACGGAATACCCCTTACACCGTTTATGTCATGGCCAACACCAACGCTGGAGGAGCCAAGGGCAATGAGATCAACTTCAAGACGCTATCCATTAGTGAGTATTTCCGTCAAGCCCTGAATACTTCTCCTGAATATTTTCTTCAGATTTGTTGAACATAACCTTTGCCAAATGTATAAGGAAGCCAAATAAAAGGTAGTGCTTCATTCAGGAAAATCATTATTCTTTCTTACTCACTGAACTTCTTGGCAGAGCTTTACATAAGGAAAGAATAGCAAGATCAAACAAACTGAGAGCTGAATTTGGGAAAATTGCTTATTTTGCTGCTTCTCAATGGGCACCTTCAAATCATATAAAGGATGAGAGATCAAGTTAATGCCAATTTTTAGGCTGAGCACTAAATCAGCTCTCACGTCAAAGCTATCTTCAAGATCCCGTTCACCATTTTCTACATGTTGGAGGCTACTGAATGATGAAACACTGTAGAGAAAATCTTAAGCCAGCTGAATACCAATTCAAAGGAAATTACTTAATCTCCTTATTTGTATAGCCTTTTTTTATCAAAGAGAGCATTTTTCCGTAATCAGCTTGTATGTTAAAAAGTAAAAAATGAAAAATTTAATAAATTAAAAAATAATGTAAAATAAAATTTGACATCATTTGATTGTTTCTTCAAGAAGGCAGAATGAAGGAGATAATTGAAGAAGAAAGGTCCTAACTTTGCAAAATTCCTTAGTAACAAAGAATTGATTTTAAGGATATAACTGTTGCAAAAAAGGAATGACATTTTTATATTAGAAATAAAGCAACAATGCCATATTTGCAATAAAAGCTGAAAGTGGTCTTTTCAAGGTTTTCTCAAGAGCCTCCTGTTTATTATTACATTTTCAGAAGGAAAGAATGATTATGTCTCTGGAAAATTTTAAATATGATATACAGTTAATAGCTTGCTCGGCTCTACAATCAACACTTTTAACACCAGCAGTCAGAAAATCAAAAGACAAATTGGATTAGGTAAATCTGCTCTCAGGGACTTCTCCAAAGTACTGAGAAACAATGATCTCAGTCTAGGGACTAAGGTGCAACTGATCCAGACCATAGTCTTTCCAATTACTTGCTATGCATCAGAGAACTAGACAATGACTAAGGAGGATAGAAGAAGAATTGATGCCTTTGAGTTGTGGTCCTAGAGAAGAGTCTTGAACATATTATTGACCACCAAGAAAACAAATAGGTCTGTCTTGGGGAGGGTCCTAGGAACCGTGTTTCTCCTTGGAGGCTAGGATTTTGAAGCTCAGTCTCATATACTTTGGGCATGTGGCCAAGAGGTATTGATCCTTGGAGGAGGACACCATGCTTGGAAGGGTTGACCGACAGCACAGGAGAGGAAGACTTCAGATGAAATAGATTGATACAGTAAGTAGGGCAATGGGGTAAGTGTGTTGGAGTCAATGAGACTGGTTCAGGACAGGGCAGGCTTTGAGAGCAGTTGTACATAGAGTTGCTATGAGTTGCAGGTAATTTGATGGCACATAACAACAACATCATACTATATGTTACATAGAGAATGTTCTATTTTTATGGAATAATATTGCTTTCTTAAAATTATTTTTTTAATTGCTTTAAAACATCTCTTAAAACTATGTTGTAATTTTACAACTGTAGGCACAAATTAAGGAGTCCTGGTGTCACAGTGGTTAAGAACTTGGTGGCTAAATTCCAGAAAAGTTAGTGATTCAAATCTGCCTAAGGATCCATGGGGAAAAAGACTTGGCTTCAAAAAGACGAAAATCCTCAAAACTTGACTGATAAATAACATCATGATAGATGGGGAAAATGTTGAAATTGTCAATGACTTCCTCATACTTGGATCCACAATCTACACCCCTTGGTACCAGACAGGAGATCTATTGTACTTGGCAAGTCTGCTTTCAGGGACCTCTCCAAAATACTGAAGAGCAATGATGTCTGTTTAAAGACTACAATGTGCTGGATCCAGCCCATGATCTTTTTAATAATCATTTGCTGTTCGTTTGAGAGCTTGACAGTTACTAAGGATGACAGATGAAGAATTGATACCTTTGAGCTGTAGTGTTGAAGAAGAGTATTGACTATCCCATGAACAGTAAAAATACAAAAAACAAAAACAAACAGATTTGTTTGGGAGAAAGTGTAGCCAGAGGGCTTCTTGGAAGCAAAGATGACAAAGCTTCATCTTATCTACTTTGGGCATGTTTCTCGGAGAGGTTATTTCTTGGAGAGAACCATCATGCTTAGAAAGGTCATTGAAAGAGAGGAAGGTCTCAGTGAGATAGATTGACACACAGAGACTGCAACAATGGCTTTAATATGATGAGGGTGACAGAGGATATGACAGGGTTCAGATCTGTTGTTCATAGAGTCGCTGTGAGTTGTACTTAACATCACCTTACAACCATGATAATAATCCACTCCCACGAAAATGACAACCTAGGAATCCCTATAGGACAGTTCTACTTTGTCCTATAACAATACAATTTTATGGCATATGATAACAGGCACAAATCATATAACCTGATAGAATTTTCTCCAAGGACCAGACAAAAGGTAATGTCCTATATTAGAGTCTGTTTTCCCATGTTGCTAGATGTCTCCATACTTTACCCCTTGTTCCTTTACAGCCCATTCACTATATGGCAGCCAAAGTTGTAAACTCTCAATCTCTAGCTTAAACCCCACTAGTGACTTCTGTTGTATTTTAATAAAATGCAAATTCCTTCCAGAACATTTAGAGTTCTTCATCACCTGGTTCTTACTGACATCTCCCACCATTTTCTGCTTCTTTATTTTTGTTCTTTATTTCTACTTCAAAGTTTTTGTATCAGCTGCTTCTTCTGTTTGGAATGTTTTATCTACTATTTTTTTTTAATTGTTGGCTTCTCATTATTAAAGTTAGCTAAACTTTTATTTCTCAAAGTTTGAGTCTACATTTGGCTATCTGTCTCTTGTTGCTAATCTCTGCTCTTACTTCAGTTATCCTCCATCTTTACACCTTGTTTTACCTGCAATAATCTTGTTTATTTACTGCGAATAGAGCAGGGACAATGTGGAGACAGCTGATACTGATCTCTACCAGCTGCACAAGGGGAAACTACTCTCATTATCAACATTCACAACACAAAACAAATTCTCATGAGGTTAGACATGTTCCCCAGTGCTGCCACTCCCATTTTGACTAATTTCTAATGCCAATCCTACTACCCTACTCTACGGGGCACAAAATTCATTGCAGTTGCTACACAGACCTCAAAGAATCATACTCATGATTTTGGGATTCATATGGAGGGTTAACAGGTTACAATTCAGGCTGGCAACCTCTGGTCAGGACAACTTCTGAAGAGTGCTTGCAGGCCTCTCATCCATCAGCCCTGTGGCTTTAAGTAGTGTTACACAGTTCTCTTAGTCCTAATGATTAAGACATCTCCCCAACCTCACTAAGTTTTCAAGAAATCTTGGGTGAAGGCTCCTACCTCTGGTCTCTGGCTCTCTGCTGTGGCTGCTTTTGCTCCTGTAGGCTTCAAGTTGGGTGGCACAGGCGCTTTGGCCCCCAAAGATGTACACTGCATTCACATCTTTTTTGCTGGTATAGAGACTCCCCCATCTCTGCTGCTGAATCAGCTCAATTTAATGGCATGGCTAGTCAATCCCCCCGTAAATTGTTGTTGTTGTT